TAGTTATTAGTACTAACTACGACGTACGACGACGTAGTAGTATAGTATCTACGACTAACAATACTATATACTATACGTAGTAGACGACCACCTCCTCCTCTCTCTCTCTCTCTCTCTCTCTCTCTCTCTCTCTCTCTACTATATATATATATATATACACACACACACACACTATATATAACTAACTAGTACTAACTAACTTACTTTACTTTAGTTAATACTACTACTTCGTATATTACTCTACGTCGTACTCTCTCTCTCTCTCTCTCTCTCTCTCTCTCTCTCTCTCTATAGGAAGGACCGGTATTGTGTCTAACCTATATTATTATTCAAAAACTTAGAGACATTTACTCGGGCCCAAATTCTGCAGAGACTTTCTTGGATAATACGCAGTTCATGAAAATATAAAAAAAAAAACCTATAAAATGATGTTCTGAGGAGATCCAGTCCATTCCCATTTTGGGCTATGTATAGTGTTGAACTAGAGCAACAACGGTTATGAGGGGTAATTTGGTTCAAGGGGAAGGCTTGAAAAGGGCAAGGGAAAGCCCCAAAAGGACATGGATGTAACTAGTGACAAGAGACATAGTGACCTATGGTCTGACTGAGGGTACAACCCTTGGTAGATCGGAATGGCAAAACAGGTTTCATGTAGCCAACCCCAAATGGTTGGGACAAGGCTCAGATAATGATGATGATTTTGTGTTTACCACCGTCATAACAAGCATTTAAAGATTACATTAAATAGCCTCTCTTAGTCATATAACTTCCCCTCTAATCTTATGAACTTGTCATCGTGATACGGAGTAACTTTGGGCTAATAATTCCAACCGAAGAAAGGATTTGAAAAATGCCTATATGAACATGATGTCTTCTCTCCTATTGAAGTTCCTAGGTATTAATTTTTTAATTGCTTTTTCTTCATTATCATCTGCAAGAACATATAGGTTCAAATCTTGCTTGACTGTGATTACTATGTCAAATGGTCACAAAGCAAGTAGGATGACAAAGCATTTGATATCCTATACAATATGGTACTCCATATAATTCATTCGCATCCCAAAGTTGCCGAGAATAAGTTTACTATTAAATAATTTGGCATTGTAACAAATTTTTTGAATGTAAACTAAAACAAGGTAATCTCTTTTGTGTTAGTATTAATTTTTTAATTGTTCTTTCTTTGTATATGGAATAAAGATCCCGTTCTTCTTGGAATCAAGATTGCCATCCCCTTAAAATTGACACTCCAAGAGTCAAGATTCTTAATATGCAGAATCGAGTTTCCGACATCCATGGAATCGAGTTTTTGACATTTGTGGAACAGAGATATGTTGTTGTTTTGAATCGTGATTCTAACATATTTGGAATCAAGTTTCTGAAGTATATGGATTAGAGATCCATGCTAGTTTGCGATCGAGATTTACAATAATATGAACTATGGAATGTGTTTGACAACCTCTACCAAGAATTGAGATTTCATTTTTATGGAGATGGAAGCCACAAGCACATCTTGAGCTTCATCAACTTTAAAACTTATGTTGGATGTCTCTTATTAGAAGGTTTCCCAAATTTTAAAGTGATTGTGTTGACTATTGTGCTTACGGTCATTATATACAAAAGACAAGTATTTTTAAATTGTTATTTTAACTTCATTATATAAAAACAAAATATGATTATGTCTATGTCATGGTTTTACTTTAAATTGTATGTGCTGTATTTACCGGTTATATCTTAAATTTAAAGTAAAGGCCACCCAGGGTGGCACAAGTAAAATAATGAAACCCTGCAACCACTAGAAGCATTCGAATGAAGATTTCTACTCCAATTGACGTAGAATCAAGATTTAATCCTTACTGGAATCAATATTCGATATATTTGGGAACGTCTACCCACAATTAATGGGTTCAAGTTTCAAAAAGGGTGTTGGATCGAGATTCTGAAATTAAGGAATCAAGTTTCCTTGGGTTCGATAAATGGTTTCTAAAGCTGTGTTGAATCAAGATTCCGAAATTAAGGAACCGAGTTTCCTTGGTTCCAAAAAATGGTTTCTAAAGATGTGTCGAATCGAGATTCCGAAATTAAGGAATCAAGTTTCCTTGATTCCGAAAAACGGTTTCTGTGGAGATTCCTTAATGGAAATGTGCAATCGGGTTTCAGAACCGGAAACGCGAGGTTGGTGAAGAATAAGTTTTACTATCAAATAATTTGGCATTGTAGCAAATTTTTGGAATGTAAACCAAAACACTGTAATCTCTTTTGTGTTAATATGATACTGAACTCTTGGTTCATCCTCCTCTGATTAACAAGGCCTGCCTCCACTTTAAACCATTGTGCTCTGTTAATTGATCTTTAAGACTTTAGAATTTGATACTTGGGTGTGGCAGTTGAGGTTATAAAGCATTTAAATTTTTTTGAGATTTTATTTGTTCCTTTTAATTTCCTTGGAATCACTTTGAGAATTGATAGTTGTGATTGGTGGTTGAGGTTATGCCACGCATCTGTAGGCTGAATTTATACTCTCAGTTTTCATCCTTCCAAATGTTGACTGATGTTTTCCCTATTATATGAAACTTGTTTTGAAGTCACACCTTTGTTGACAAAAACAGGTGCTGACAATCTGATACCAATGGAACTGGCTTTGAAAATTGTGGGCAAAATTAAAGCAAAGGAGCGATTTGCAGTCTATGTGGTCATACCCATATGGCCAGAAGGTGTTCCTACTAGTGCCTCTGTACAAGAAATTCTCTTTTGGCAGGTCAGAGAGTAGTTCTTCTATCAATGTTAATGTTAGTTGAAAAGTAACTTTTCTGGGAATTACCTCAGTAGTTGCATATTATTATACGTTCTACTCAAGAGTTCACGCCTCAGATTATTTTTTTTGCGTGCCTGAGAAAAATCAAAAGGCACAACTAATAGCATGTGATTTGCACCATGTGACCATGTAATAAAGTTTGCAACAAACACTAATGGTGTGCCCTGTTAGTAGTCCTCTGTGGTGAAGGGGTCATGAAGTTTGGCATATAAGGTCAGTGACATCTGTAAAGTTGGTAAACATGCCAAACAATAAATCACCTCCATGAAATTAAGAAGTAGAAGAAATCCATATGTTTTAGTATTCAAACTATTTTCCACCACTGCCAGTGGTTTGGTTGGTTTTACAGTTTGACATGGATAGTGTAAAATTTGTTCACTTATGATTCATAGTAATTTAGTTGATGTTGTATGAAACTTCTTTCTGTACTTGTTAAATCTAAGTATTTTTACTTTTTGAGTTCTCAGGGGCAAACAATGGAGATGATGTATGAAATTATCGCACGGGCACTGAAAGATGAAGGCTTGTCTGAGAGCTCACATCCACAAGATTATCTGAATTTCTTCTGTCTTGGTAAACGTGAGGGAGACCCAAGAGATATGTTACCAACAACAGAACAGGCTCCTGATAACAGTGCTGCGGTATTCATACAGAAACTACTAATCAATTGTGCAATATGTTTTGTACTTATTCATATACTTCCTTAACTACATATTGGATGTTTGGACTGAAGAATACTAAGGGGAAAAACTGTAGATTGCAACATACTTGCTTTAATCCTTTTTCTGTTTTTCATTGGTAATTTTGTTATATATATTGTCTCTTTTAAACAGACAAGCCAACGATCTTATGTATTGATGAAAGTGCAGTGCACCTTAAAATTGTATGAATTACAGGACCTCACATTGCATCTGATTTCATACTCCTTAACTTGATTGTAAAACATTAAGCTGATTATCATTTTACTCATGAGAGATTGATTACTGAATTTGTTGGTTTTCATTGTGTGTCATTCTCTATGGCACTTAAAGATTTATTTACTATGGCATTCTCAAATGGGCATCATGACTTTGTGAACTGAATGTCACTAATCACGTATAAATGTTCTAGCTTTAGGGTGTGAACATTGTTCAGATATTCACTATACATGTCTATAACAGTTCTGATTAGTAGGGATATTTTTTGTAGCTTTGGTCAGTGGACGTATTTTTTTAAAGTTAACACTTGTGGGTATGTTGAACATTCTGGCTTTGTCTGTATATGTGCACACACAACAATTGAAGTTAAGGGCTTTCATTATTTGATGCTCTTGTATGAGAACAAGTGCATGACTGGTCTTTGCTGTTATGTGAAAAACAGGGATAGCATGCTTACATTTCACTATTTATTCTATGGACGAAAGGATCTATATTTATCAGTAAAGCAAAAGAATAAAGAGGATCTCTATTGTTTGTGATCTTATGTTATATTTGTTCAACGTTGCCACGGATGATAACCATTTAAAAAAAAAAAAGGTTACTCCACATGATTTAACATTGGTTTTGCTATCATTCCCCAGTAATGTTTGGAAGGTTTGATATTTGTTAAGGTACTTGTTTGCTTTAGTAAGTTGTTCTCTATGTATGCTGGCTTAGAATCAAAATTTTCTTGTAGGGCTTGGCTCAAAAATTTCGCCGATTTATGATTTATGTCCATGCTAAAGGAATGATAGTAGATGATGAGTATGTGATCCTAGGGTCGGCCAATATCAATGAGAGATCTTTGGCTGGTTCACGTGACACTGAAATTGCAATGGGTGCTTATCAGCCTCATCATACGTGGGGAAAAAATGATAGGCATCCTCGTGGGCAGGTTAGTATTTTGTTTTTATGTTCTTCTTTTCCTCTTGGCATGTTATTGCTATATACTTTTATGGAGGCTATTCAAAATCATTTGTTGAGGGTCTTATTTGTTGAATGGGGTCTTCTCAACTAGATAGTTATTACATCTAAAATGTTGAGTGGCACATTTGAATCACAAAGGGGCAATCAATGAATATGACTTTTCAAGGAGTGTATGACTCAAGTATGATGCAAGTGGAGGCTGTTGAAACAAACTTGACACTTTATTACCTCATCAATTTACTATGGAAATTCAGCAATTATCATTTAATGACTTTCATGACATAAATTGATAATCACTTAAAAGTCACTAGTGTTTCCTTTTGGATTATATAATACCTATGCAAGGATCTCTCGGTCAGAAATGTCTCTCATTGATCTTGGGCTGCTGTTTTGATGAATTTGTCATGCTAGGGTCTCCCTAGCTAATTATGTAGATATGACTAATGATGTATTTATATCATGCTATTCGATGAATCTGTCGTGTTTTCCAATCCTTGTGTCTATTCTGTTATTTATGCTGAAACCCAATCTTCCTGCTATTTCGAGAGTTTTTATGTAAGTTCAATGCTGTTCTTGGGTTTATGGCTTCATGGAGGGTGTTGGGCATATTTTCCATATTTAAGATGTGGTTGAATCAAAATGGACTTCTTTCTAGTTCAGAAGGTAGATCGACCATCATATAAAGATTGTAAGGTTATCCCCGTAGAGAGTTTGACTACGCAATATAGGCTCATGGTTGTGGATGTCTGCATAAAAAACATGGAAGAGAAGGGGTGAAATTAATTAGTGTCCAAGAACTAGGTGGTCGAACTTAAAAAATGAGAAAAAAGATTTATTTAGGATAAATTAGTTAAAGAAGGAAAATGGAATTCCGAACATGAGGTCAATGTTATGTGGAATGAGATGGCTGATTGTATTAAGGTAGTGGCAAAAGAAGTTTTAGAACTAGAGGGAAAATAAATTCCGATAAGGAAATTTGGTGGTGGAGTGATGAGGTTCAGAAGGCCATTAGCGAAACACAATCATGTTATAAAAGTTGGCAATGCAATAAGAATGATCAAAACTTAGAAGAATATAAAACTGCTTAGAAAAATGCTTAACAAATAAGTAAGGCTAAACTTAAAGCATATGATAATTTATACAATAAACTAAGAACAAAAAAAGGCGAAAAAGATGTCTTCAAATTAGCAAAAATGAAGGAGAAAAAGTATAGGGATCTAGACCATGTTAAATGGATTAAGAACGGAGTTTATGATAGTGTACCTAGCGATTTGACTTGGTGGGTATTAGAAACGAACGGAGTCTCTACACCAATTGGTGAGAGATAAATACAAGGGAGCGCTAATTAGTGTGCGATCAACTAGTGGAGAGATAAGTGAGTTTTCAATGACAAAATGTCTACATCAGAGGTCAGCACTGAGCCCATACCTCTTTGTCTTGCTTATGGGCGACTTAACTAGGCACTTACAAGATGAGATACTGTGGTGTATGTTATTCACGGATGACATAGTTTTTATCGATGAGACCCGAAACGGCATCAACACAAAGTTAAAACTTTGGAGGGATGCTCTAGAATCGAGAGATTTTAAAATTAGCCGAACTAAGATAGAGTATATGGGGTAAGTTTAGTAATAATAAGAGCAAGTTTAGTAATAATAAGAGTAGAGACGAGGAAGTAGTTAAGATTGACGGCCAAGTAATGCCAAAAAGAGCGCACTTCCGATATCTTGGGTTAATAATCCAGGAAAAGGGAGAGATTGAGGAAAATGTCTCCTATAGAATCAGAGCTGGGTGGGTGAAGTGGAGATGTGCAACTGGAGTTTTATGTGATTGACGCATACTATTAAAGTTGAAGGGCAATTTCTATAGGAAAAATGTGAGACCAGCTTTGTGGAGCGAAATTTTGGGCAATCAAGAAACAACATATCCATAGAATGAGTATATTACTAAGATGAGGATGTTGAGGTGGATGAGTGGCAAGACAAGAAGGGATAGAATTCGAAATGAATACATTTTGGAGAATTTAGATGTGGCACCAATAGGCGATAAGATGAGAGAAAATAGATTTAGGTGGATTGGCCATGTGCAGCACAAACGCAGTACAACACTATTAGTAGGTACGAGTTAGTTCAAGTAGAAGGCTCAAAAAGAGCAAGGGGTAGACCCAAAAGGACATGGTTGGAAGTAGTGAGAAAAATATATGGGGACTTATGGTCTCACTGAGGGTATGGCCCTTAATAGAGCAGAATGACAGACCAGGATTCATGTAGCCAACCCCAATTAGTTGGGAAAATATTTTGATGATGATGGCTGGTGGTTGAATCAATGCTAAGAAGCTTAAAGCTGGAGGATCTGGTGGGGAAATCGGTTGGACTTGGGGATACTAGATACCTAACTTTTTTTATGGTTTTTATGCAACTTAGGCCTCTAAAGGGGTTGATTTCATAAGCACCTTAGTCAAAAGGACCGAGATTTTTCGTTTAAGTCCTTATTGATGTCTGATGGCTGATGTCATTATATGTTTCCTTATCCTTCATGTGTTTATGAACAATGACCGCATTACAAAGCTAAAATGCAAAAGATGAAGAAAATAGGACAAACATTAATGAACATATACATATGGTACCTTTCCTTCATGTTTTGCTTCCTTCTCTTGAATGATACATGCTCTTTTGTTGCCATTTATTCACAGGTATACGGGTACAGGATGTCATTATGGGCTGAGCATCTAGGCCATCCGGAGGACTTGTTTTATGAGCCTTCCAGCCTAGGGTGTGTGAAGAGTGTGAACAAGATAGCTGAAGATAATTGGGGTAAATACACAGCAGAGGAGTTTGTGGAATTAAGGGGACATCTCCTTAAATACCCCATCAAGGTCGAAGCCGATGGGAAGATTGGACCCTTACCAGGCCATGAAAACTTTCCAGATGTGGGTGGAAGGGTTCTTGGGGCTCATACGTCCCTTCCTGATACCTTAACGACTTAGCTGCATAACTTCTGTACTTAAAAACCTTTCCTCAACTTGCATCCATTGGAAACAAGATGAGCATCTTCAAGTTCAGGATCCCATAGCATACTTGGGTTAGAGGGTGTGCAAGTGGTGGATGAAAGGTGAATTTTCAGGATGAGAAAGTCATTTGTTTGAATGGGCTTTGTGGGCTGTTGTGTATTTGATCATGTGCTTCTATTTGGGATTTATATGTGCAAGCAGGTTCATTTTAGCTCATTAGTCGCTTGTAATTTTAATATTCATGGAAATTGTAATTGTAAATGCATGATAAAATTATCCTTGGACTCCATGTTGGACATACACTCCTTCCGGTGTAATCATGTATATTTTTGTGTTATTGTTCTTACCATAAACATTCAATGAACAATACCAGTAGCAATGCCAAATATCTTCGATACAGGGTAGAGAGAGAGAGATTGTCGCACAAACTTCATTAGACGAGTGTGGCTTTGATTATTTGGTTGCACGAGTAAATAGTAAGGCTCAAGCAGGTCCAAAGTTCAAGAAAGTTTTGAGGCAATCTAAGGGCTGGGAAGAAGGGGTAATTGTTGGCATTGGTTTCCCCTTGGTTTGGAAGCACAATAACATAACAGAAAAGCAAGGTGAGGTGCTCAATGGTAAGAAGCTGGAGTAACAAATAGAAAAAAAAAAAACCAGTATATAAAGGGACTATTTAATTTTGGTACAAAGATGTAATAATCACTCTTATCCATCAAATTTCAAATTGGATGGTTATAAGAGCTATTAATTAGATTGAAAGTTCAAAAAGTAAAATAAAAATTGTAACACATCAAGCCATTCAATTTAATACCTAATGGTTATGAGTACTTGCGACCTCCATGCAAAAAAAGATAGATGGTTTTATAGTATACAATATGTAGTTCTTATTTGATCGAGTATTATACAGTCTCTAGTGACTAATCCTCCTTGCAATTGTTCAAATTTAGCTATAGTGCACAGTAAATCTCGTTGCTCATCAAAAGCCAAATAAGTATGGTAACTTTGATCTCTCTCCTTTCATTGTTATTTTGTTAAAAGGTGAATTAGGCTTGCTGAACTTCGCATTTTTTTTTGTCTCCCTCTCATGAGTTTCTCAATATCGTCTAATAGAAGTTTAACCGCTATAAACCCAACCACTCACTGGCATCATCTGTCTTTGGATGCAAAGACCAAAAAATCACTCTTTTAGCCTCTGATTAAGCTGGATGAAGACTAAATTCTCGAGTTTATTTTGCTTAATCCTGTTCGCTTGTGAGAATGTATGAGCCAAATTTTAGAAAACTTTGAGTAAAATTACAAATGTGTAATAGTCCACTGATATAGTACAACAATAGCCAATAAAGCATGAGTTACATGAATTTTATAATAATCATAACTAGGGTGCAGTTTGTATAGAGCTTAGGCTCTAAACAATCAAATTAGAGCCTACCTTCAAATAGTGTCCAGAAATGTGGTTTTAATATTGGAAATCTTTGTGATATCTTTAAAATATACTTTTATAGTTATTTATAAAGTTTAAAGCTTAAAAAATAATGGAGATCCACATATCTATGAAAACTTGAAAATCTTGAAAATTGATAGTCCAACTTTGCATTTCAAAATACACTACTTTCAAAATGTGCAACCCATTTTTTCTCAGGTCCGTACTTCTTGACGTCGAGATGATCAATTTGAAGATATTTGAGCATCACAACAACCTCCTCTAGTCAAATTTTTGAGGTAGGTTCAAATTTGATTGTTTAGAGCCTCAGCTCTATATAAACTTTTCCCTCATAGATATCTGTCACAAAGAATGAAAATAATTTGCATCATTTTAAAGTATGAAATTAAAAATTAGATTGGTGGCACTTACTGTGAACCGGTTATTACTGAATAATTTGTCTCTGCATGTAAGTTTGTTAATGTTATGTAAAACAGTCATTTAGCTTCAATTATTCTCATTTATAACACAAAAACACTATGTATTGTATGACTTCATAGTTGTTACACCTCAATAAAATAAATTGCAAATTTATAACTCGAAAACAAACTGAATTGTATGACTTACTTCTTAATTACTACACCTCCTCAATAAAATAAATTGCCATCACCTGTAAATTCAAACAAACTCCACAACAAGAGCACCACCTCTGCCTGCAACTCTCTCTCTCTACATATGAGAAACTTTCTCTCTCTACATGTTTCAAGCTTTGAGCAACTCTCTCTCTCTCTAGGTAACCCTAACCCCTTGGTACCTCAAAATCTCGCCGATAAGTTCACCTTTACCTGAACCCACGTACCTCCCTCTAATTCTACCGTCCCTTATGAACAAAAACGTAGGCACCTCCACCACGTCCATCTCTCTCAAGAACTTCATGCAACTCTCGTTCTCATCACCGTTCATTCTCGCAAACGCCACTGTTCCGGCCATCTGCCTCGATAGCTTCACCACCGTCGGATACACCTTAACGCACGGCCCACAGTGCTTGAGCCCCACGTCCAAGACTACAAGCCTTTTATCTGCTCTGCTCTCTTCTATGAAAGCTTTTGCTTCCTCTCTGCTGTGCAGCTGCTTCACCGGCGTCTCTGCGTCGCCGTAGTACAGCACGTCGTCGGCCAATTGGCCGGGCTCGATGCCCTCCTCCTCGTGGACCTTCTCTTGGGATTTGTAGAAGGTGAAGTGTGGGACGCGGTCGATGCCCTCTCGATTGCAGAGGGCACGGGTGGCATCCGACTCATCACCTACGACGAGGAGGAAGTCGACGTCGGAGCAGGTGCGGGAGAGCTCCACCATGACGGGGTAGATCTTGTGGCTATGGTAGCTCTTGCTCCCGGCATACTCCACGACAACGAGGCGGTTTAGTGCCTGCTTGAGGGCATCGTCGAATTCCTCGATGCTGTGGATGCGGCGCACGCGTGCATCTCGGAGAGGAGTTGTGGTGGCCGGGGGGTTGGTGGCGGCAGGACCACCAGTTGGGGCAGGGGATGCAGCGATGCGTGTCTGTCGGGAAAGAGACCTGACGCCGAGGCCGAGGCCGAGGCAGGGGAAGGTGGAAGCAGAGGGGGAGGAGACGGGAAGAGAGAGTGTGGGGGTGGGTGGGGAGAGGGGGTCTATTTTTGAGAGAGAGGAGGCAAGGAAGGCTGACGCCGGCGTTGCTGCCATGTAGAGAGAGAGAGAGAGAGAGAGAGAATTGTTAAAGTATAGAGGCAGAGGTAATATGAAGATGAGATGAGAGGAGGAGAAAGGAAGAGAGCGAGGGGGGAAGCGTGTTGCAGGGTTTTAATGGAGGTGTGAAAATTGAGAGGGGAGGGGGGAGATTTAATGAGGGGAAAGGAAAGAGGGTTCTGGTGGAGAAGCTTCCTTCTTTCTTTTCCGAGGGAGATGATATTATCTTTTTTAGTGTGTGGTGGATATTGTTTGGTGAGAAATGCATGGTATGGATATCTTTGGGTAGCCTAGACATGGGACTACAAATTTAAAGCGGGTGTGAATGCAAAGGTGGGGTTCATTCAATTTCGTGAGGTTGCGGCGTTATGAAATTTCGGAAAGCTGCACTTTAGAATTCTTTAGAAATCTACATTAACCCTTTTAAAAAGGATGAAATTTCTATAAGGCCTCGTCCATTCACTTTTAGCAATGGAAATCTCCAAGGTGGATCTAAAATCAATTTCTAATATTAAAAATAAAATTTGAAATTAAAAAATAATAGCGATCTTACGGATCTATGAACATTTATTTTTAAGGCGAAATTGACGGTCTAGATAATTTGTCACAATATACACTATTTTTTAGAGTTTGAAATCTTTTTTTTTTTTCATAACCATGCTGTTCAAGCCGAGATGATGTTGCAAAGCTCTTCCAATGCTTTAATTGCAATTTTAGATAAGTTATGAGATGAGATTTTACTTGTTTTCATAGGGACGCAGCACTATCAAACCACTCTCCTAAAAAAGAAAATTATTTATGACGTGTAGATCTATTTTGTGCCTAGTTATAAAATTTGAAGTTCTAAAAATTGTGTTGATGGGAGAATCCAAGGAGACGTACAATAGACGGTCCTTGAAAAGTACTGCTAAGATATACTATTTGGAAAAGGTTTATATAAGGATACAACCTTATAATGAAGAACTACATATGCACTTCAAAAATCCATCGAAAAATGTAGTTTAAATGTTGAAAAACTCTTTGATTGATCATCTCCATATCAAGATATATGACCATAAAAAATAAAAAGACTTTAAGTCTAAAAAATAGTGTATTTTACACATATTATCTACACCGTCCATTTTCAAGATTTATATGTATTTATAGATCTACTTGATTTTAACCATTTTTTAAATTTAAAATTTTATAATTAGATATAAAAATAGATTTTGAGATAATCATTAGAATATTTTACATCAAATTTATATACCATAATAAAATTTGAAGGTCCACCTTACATCTACAGCTATGGATGCATCCGTATGCCAACTGCACCCATACTATTTTTTAGCATTTGAAATCCTTTATTTTTTTCAAGGCATAATCATTGAGGTGGAGATGATGGCTTTGCAGGTTTTCTGGAACCAAATTTATGTATCTTAACAAAAACATGCCTCATGGAATGTTATCAATAGGGGTGGCAACGGGTAGGGTATGGATCAGGTTCAGCTGGGCCCGGACTCGAATCTGAATAGTATTTGCGTCCAAGTTTCGGACTCGACCCGACCTGTTGGGTCGAAAAGTTGGACCCATACTCGTACCAGTATTGACAACAAGGTCACAATTATCCACCATTAGATTTCAAGACGTCTGATTTGTCCTTTAATAATTACAAGTTCTTATTCTATACGAACCTTAATACACCCAAACGAATAGGGCTAAAAGAATTGTATCTCCAACAGTTTCCGGGTACGGGTTGAGTCCAACCGGACCCGGACCCGGACCCGAACCCAAATAGTGTTTGGGTCTAGGTTTTGGACCCAGACCCGAGTCGTCGAGTCCAAATGTTGGACCCATACCAAGTTACGCAGAGGGTCCCAGATCAGATCTGCGTCCATTGCCCCCCTTAGTTATCAAGAAGGACTTTTTTTTTTCATAATCATTGTGGTTGAGATGAGTGCTTCGCACGTTTTCTCACCAAAATTGTGTTTTTTTTTTTTAGTAAATAGAAGTCACATAAGTTAGTGGGGGTTTGGGCCCCTATCTTTTAGTGAGAATAAAATCTAAGACCTCACCATAGAGCTCGGCAACATCAAAATTGTGTTTCTTAAAAAAAAAAAACATCCGCCATACATTGTTATCAAGAAGGACAGAACTAGGAGGTCCAATCAGTTGGACAGTATGGTCTATAGTAAAAACTTAGATTTGATAAAAAAGAATCGGTTAAACCCAGTTTGGACCAACTAAAGAAGCTAAGTAAACTTTCTCTTCGTAAAAAGTTTCATAAATTGCCGAATCAACTCAAAATAGCCCGATTTGGCTTAGAACCGGACGAGGATTGGTCTAGCTCCCCCATATTCGGACGAGTCACCTAATTCCGGTCCAAAACATATTTTTTTTCATTTTCATATTCTACTCATTTTATGTTTGAAATGCGCTAATTCGAATTCATTTACATACTAACTTTTCAACAAATTGAACCTCTCTTAGCCCTCTTTTATATCCAATTTTTATATCCAAAAGGAAAAAATGGTGCCGCTTCTCAGGCTGTTTACAAGGATTTGGGAGTCGCTCTCTATATTGACCGGGAATTGTTGTTCAATAAGGTAATTCCTAACTCCAATCCTTGAATTCCACCATATTGTTAGAGACCGTGCCAAGAGCTAATGCAAAGTCGTCTGTGCATTGTCGTTGAGGATGCCACCACAGACACCAGCGTCGGGGTTATGTAAGGATGATCCATCAATATTGAGTTTGAAAAATCCACATTGTGGAGTTCAAATGACTTTCTTGCGGGACAATGGGCGCCATGGGATTTCCAAGTTTTGAGCGATACATCGTTCAGGGGTATGGAACGATCACCTTTTGAGGCGACCAGCAAGCTCACAAATAGGATATGGCTGAGTAGTTGCTCTCTTCTTGTTCATTTGCTTTCGAAAATACGGGCCTTACGTTTTTGTCCCAATGGACCACACCGCAAAAGAAAAAAGAGAAATCCAAACATCCCAAAGTCATGTTGATTTAAAACAATATTTGATCCGTTTTTTTGAAGAGTTGAGGGATGGATGGTGCCAATGAGAAAAAATTTCACATCTTCAAACCATGAAACCTGCGAGAAAGAGGATTGCATAAATTTGATAATTAATAACTTAATATTATTCTCTTCTTGGAGACAAAGGGGGCATATGGAAGCCAGGGCGATCTCCCTAAAGGGTTCAAAGGAGAAGAACAAAGTGCTTTGAAATTAGGTTGGATTGGACTCCTCTGTCTGATATGTTTATAAAGAATAGGACATCAGAAGAATGAATCCACACTAGGAGGTCTTGTTTGTTTCAATGGTGATAGTGTGGGCTTGGACATCAAACCATGCTTGAACGGGAGGAACGGATGTAGGGTGAGGAAGAGTCTATTGTTGTATGCTGCATAATCTGCCACTATAGGTTTAACGCGATCACCCAAGACTTTGTGCACATCAGTACCACACATATCTCATAAGGATTTTTCAAATAGCCAGGGGTCAGCCCAGAAGTCTATTGTGGGACCATTCCCAGTAGCCCACTTGATATCATATTGAGGTTGATTCAGTCCCTGGTTATAGCCTTCCAAGAATGCAAGCAATTTCTATTTCTAGGAATCCAAATAGAGGTATTTTAAAAGCAACTGTGTTTGAAAAATTGGGCAATGAGGGAATGAAGGGTTAGAAATTAACATCCTAACCAACTTCAACATACATGTCATATAAAGTCATGCATTGTTCGGATCCATAGACCTCCCTCCTCAGCTTTAAGCAATATGTTCTCTAGTTTACCAAATGGAAGCCCTTATTATTTGATGTGCTAGAGCATAGAAAAAGAAAGGCTAGTAGATGGAGGAAGCACTAAAGATACACCTGAATAGCTGTAAGCATACGGCCACAGATAATGAAAGTGCTTGCCAAGACCTGGGTAGATGAAAGCTATTTTGTTCACATATTTGCTATTTTTCTCTATTTTCACTCATTTCTTTCAAAAAATATGGGCCAAGTCAGTGGAGCCAACTTTTCGACTGGCTCAGATCGGTGGGGGACAATTTTGCAATATATATATATATATATATATAAATTCCTGTACGTGTGTACCGCTACAGTAAATGTTTAACGGTTCAGATTGAATATGAGCCGATCTAACGGTCATAGTTGTTCGAGAGTATTTTAATTTTATTTTATTTTTTACAAATCAGAATGATCTGAAATTCGGAGCATGTGTACTTCTTAGTGAGGCGCATCTAATAAAAATAATAATAATAATAATTCGTAAAACCAAATTGACCAAAATACTGTTGAAAATTTTTTAGGGCATTTTGGTCAATTTATTTCATGTAAAATATTTTTTTATACTTTTCGTAGATTCAACTATTTTTTATAAACACATACTCCAAATTTTAAATCATTCTAATTGTATAAAAAAAAAAAATACTACTGAACATCCGTGATCGTTAGATCGGCCTAGATTCGATCTGGGCCGTCTGACCTTTTCTATAGCGGTACGTAATCAGCGTACCGTAACATCTTCCATATATATATATATATATATATATAGAAAAAGATCGAATACGGCATGGGCATATGGAATATGGGCACCCCAAATGGTGGATATCGTGCGTACTGATTTCAATGGGCACATATATCCCATTTTAAAACCATATTCAAGACCATTGGTTGACAATGTAGCTATCAACCCGTGGGTTGATATGATCTTTCTTTAAATGCTGGAGATCGTGCGTAGTGATTTCAACGGCCACGTATATCCCATTTTAAAATCATATTCAATCTGGACCATTGGCTGACAATGTATCTATCAACCCGTGGGCTGATATGATTTTTTTCCTATATATAATGAGACCATTTACCTTTGTTACAAGGAAATCACAATTAGTTACAACTATGCGATGCGAAATTTGATAGCTTGGATGTATCACAAAGTTTTAAAAAATATCTTTTGAACTTTGAGTTTGTCACTGAAATAAATGCAACAACCTAACTTCACATTTAATTGTCTAGATTAATTGTGACCACCTTGTGCCAAAGGTAAAGGATTTTATTATATGCTTATATATATATATACATATATATATATATATATATATATGAAAAATACTGCACAACGCTTATAGGTGAAATGAACAGTGATTTTGCCTACCCCCATCACCGTCCAAAGTTCATCGCGCGGTCACAATTGTCCGAAGTGTTT